CAGCAACATCTATTGGTTTATGAAATATTTCACCAAATGTGTATAACAACCTCACCGGCACACGAGACACTATAAATATGCGGTCATAGTTCAACCTAGTGATATTCTGAAGAGGCATGAAGAATCTGCAAGTCCGGCTGGGTTATAACGTATTATGTAAAAAAACACAAAATGTTGACTAGATAACTGGTAATATGCAAATACAGTCAAAATCACGAAAGATGATTATTACGTCACACCATAAATTGCACTGAAGTAATCAATGGATGTATGTCAATGATAAAATCACAATCTCATGAATTTATATTATGATTTTGCGAAGTTAGGTTATTTCACTGATTATTTTTATTTCATGGTTTTAAGTGATACATTAATAATAAGTTTAGTGGGGAGTTTTTGTTTTGAAAAAGTGAGTGAGTGAATACTCCTTAAGACATTAACACCAAAGACCAAATTATTATTTGAAAACAACCTAACCTGCTTTAACATAAGCTAACTATTCATCTTTCAAACATGAAAACATGGTCTATCTTTGTCGGATACATGCAAATTAGCAATACAGTTTATTTAGACAATAAAATTCTGTTTTTCGCTGTCTAACATGTTTGAAACAAATCGCTAAGGTTTGTCTTTACTACAGACTAAAATGATGACGTAATAGTCATCTTTCGTGATTTCGACTATAGTTGATTCCGCGCTTGCTACAAGTGAGCATGAAGTAAACTTCAACTAATTCCTAGTTCATATCTTGTAGGAAAACCTACATAATGTTAAAAAAGCCGACATAATGTCACTTTTCAAGTAACCTAATACCCTTTGCTGATTTGGGCTTGGGATAAGTTCATATGACGCGCGTCCGATGTGTGTTTACTTGGCGCTCGCTTTGAAAATACAGAATTAAACCAAACCAAACCAAACCAAACCAAACCAATATGTAATACTATATCTCCACATGAAAGCGCCTACGATGCCACGGGACGTAGCGTATCTCAATATGCAAGTCGCTCAGCGTGGACCCGCGTCTTGAGATATTAGGCATTGCTATATATTACCTGTTCAGTTGGCGCTCGCCTTTCGTTGCGTTCAATCAGTTCTATGGATTTGAAACAGAAATAATTTAACAGACCTTTTCATCAATGAATTTGAAAAGTGGAGTGCAATTTGGGAAATTCAGTACAAGTTACATTCAATAAGACAGCAAATATTTTCTGCAAATCCAATGATACCGAATAAAAAAGGAAATATTAGATAGGTTTGTTCTAAATGCTTCATTACAGTAAAGACAATAATTCAAATCATTCTATCACTCAAGGATTTTATTGACGTTCCAAAGTAATTTAAGAAATTCGGTTTATATTTGTGAAGGCTGGGCCATGGTGTAAGGTACAAACGTCTAGACAGTCTATTTGCCAAGATCCGAGTGAACCCAGTATGCATTTTCTCTTCTACGTCCTTTTATGCTTTCGTATGTTAACCAAGCATAAGTAGCTTCTTTCGCATTCATTCTCACTCACTAAACACAGTAAACTGACACTCTGTCACCTAGTCCCTCTCTATATAAAATTTGTAAGCGTGCCACCTGAACACCGACCCAACAAACCCGGGCCACGTCGACGCGGATCATCTGAACTAAGACTAGCTTTAATATTTCATCGATCATTTTGTCGGCCATTCTTCCACTTTTCTGATCCAAATTGAACTAAGCTACTATTTTTAAGTGATTTTTGGATATATGCTAATGTAGGATATTGATTCCTTACCTAGGTGACACAGAAAAATTAGTGGAGTTACTCTTAGATGGATATGATCACATAACTGACATAGTAGATGATGAGGATCAACCAATCATAGAAGCAGTTTCGAAGGCAAATCAACCAGAAACAGTCTCTTTTCTCCAGTCCATATTGACTTTTGAGGTAGGACATATATGTAATAAATAGAATATCACTAAAATTGGAATGTTTGCCTAAATAAATTTGCAGTTTTAAACAGCTGAATTAGATCTGGTTACATATGTCTCGATGAATAATACTGTAGCGTAAACTAGAATTTTGGGGTACCCATGAGTCGCCCTCTTAACATCGACGCTTAGGCAACCAGAATTACGCGACCGTATATGGAGCGCGCTCGCGTTCGTGAGCGTTTCTGTCAACGCTTTAAAGACCGAGCTGATTCTGTCCACTATGACAAGAAAGCTTGACGGACTTGTCTTGCCGACCTTTGGGACTACACTAGTTCTATCCCAATCGGTAAGGTATCTAGGAGTTAGGAGTGTACTTTGAATTAAAATGAGCATGTTGGGTACAAGAATAACAAGGCTCGCAATTCATTGTGGGCTTGCAGACGGGTTGTTGGAGTGAGACAGGGGCTTAAACACAAAGTGGTGCACTAGTTCTATACGCTGATAGTACGTCTATCTCTTTTGTATGGCTCCTTGGTTTGGTGGCCTTGCATTGGGACCGAGATAATTAAGGCCAAACTCAACAAAACCCAGCATTTCGCTTGTACCAGTATAACAAGCGCAGTGCGTACAACACCATTGAGTGACACGGAAGATCCGCTGGATCTCCCACCGTTGGATCAAATGATACGCGGAAGAGCCGAGAGTAGTCGCACATCGATTGTGGAGTCAGGGCAGCCGGGCCTTTATGAATCCTGTCAAGGGTTGCACTGCCATCTTACTCGAAGTGCAAATGGAGGATCCCGTACTTCGCTTTGGCCGCAAGTTAAATGTGGGGCATCCGACGAGGGCAGAGCGGGATTCCGGTAGATCTCCGAAGTAAGTGGGTAGGTCTGGTACACGGACGGCTTAGTTATTGAAGAGGGTTCTGGAGCCGGGTCTTTGGGTCTAGAACTGGGCTCTCACTGCCTTTCGGAGGATATACCACTATTTTCCAGGCGGCAATCTATGCGATTCTGGCTTGCGCATCCCGCATTTTGAAGGGAGGAGGGCCTACGAGAATGATAAGATCCTTTACCGACAGCCAGGCTGAGATGAAGGCACTAGGTGCCCGCCAGCTTACTACGAGCCTCGTATTACAATGCGGGGCGGCTCTGGATAGATTAGCAGCGAGGCATCCAGTATCTTTAGTGTGAGTGCCGGGCAAGGTTGTTGGTCCTGAGCCAGCCCAAGGGGTGCCCGTGCAAAGAGTCAGGACGGTAATGGTGAAGTTGATTGCTAGACAACACGCTCTCAAATGCTTATCTTTGGATAGAGCCAACCTAAGGTTGTTGGTGGGAGTGCTTTCTAGCCATAACAAGATACCTGCTTGTAATGGGTGTGGCTGAAGATCCCATGTGTAAGCGCTGCGAAGTAGAGGAGGAGTCCTCGGTGCATGCAGACTATACTGGGATATAACACTTTGGATACCTAGAATGCTAAGGAGCTGGGACTCAACTTTGCTAGAAGGGCGGAGCTTGAGGCTTAAAGAAGTAGTGGTGCATAAGAGCCCGTTATGTGGACCATTCGCCGGTTCCTCATAGTGGCCGCTGGGCCTATAATCTTTCTATTCATTTATTCATTCAGAAGTGTTTATATATTTTTGATACTGTAGCGTCCTCGTAAACGAGAACTTTGGTATACCGATGAAATGCCTTGCAAAATTTACGCCTAGGCAACCAGAATTACGCGACCGTGTATGGAGTGCGTTGCCATTCGAGAGCGTTCGACACTTATCGGAAAAAGATCTACCGCCAACCAAGTATCGATGAAAGCTCGTGGTCCATCTAGTAGGCTCTGGATTGGTCGATTTGAAATAAATAGGCGCCACGACGCCAGAAGGACAGAGCTTTTTGTGGCGCTGATTTGGAATATGCGCGAAAGAAAGTTTGGGGCTTCCAGATGGTCTTAGCAAAATAATGACATTAAATTTGACCGATTTATCAAATGAACAGTTTTCGAGCGAGATTGCAAATATGAGAATTTTAATATTTTATTCAATCGTATGCCTTTAAACTTAGAAGTTTTTGTATGCAAAATTTGCATTTGTATTGAAAAAATACGAGTGAATGTGCTTTTCGGAGGCTAAATATTGTGATAGGACTCCCTTGTCTGGCCGAGTCAGAACACATACCATATATGCTTAAATTTCAGCCTTGTACGACATTTTGGCCACCAGTGGACATACTTCGCAGAATATCAACATGTTACAGGACCGTTCTGACTGTTGCAGCAACAGACTGCATAGGAAACTAAAAAGGAAAAAAGGAAGAAGAAAAACGAAATGTCACCTGGAAGACAGATAAAATATATTACTATTATCAAAATGATGGCTGAAACGTCGTACAATAAACATTAATTTAAACATATATGTGGTTGGGTTAAGCCAAACAAGTGAGTCCTGTGAAAATGAAATTCACAGAATAAGTTTCAGGAGCTACATCAAAATATTGCTAATCCGCCGAAATACAGTTTTTGAAAATACCCGATTTCGAAATACTGACGATGCTATTCAATATACATATAGTAAGACGCGTGATTTAATGCTATTGTTTTAATGTAGGAGAAAAGGGAAAGAGTGCATCATGCTATACGTCAAGGTTCCATCAATGACGTTACTACTTTACTTGCCGATGAAAATGATACAGGAAGTGGCAGGCTGTTGTCCATAGGTAAAAACAGCTATGGTAGATGCACTCTTCATATTGCTGTCCTCTGCCAACAAGAAGAAATCGTAGACTATCTTGCTAATAGTTTTCCAGATACTCTCAAGTTGGGCGATAACGTAAGTAGTACTTAATATTATTCTCATAGAAAATTCAATATGAAGCTCCATTCTTTAGATCAATGTACCACAATTTTCAACATTTTACTTCCCACGCAGCTGGCGAGGAACTTCTGCAATCGCGAGAAATTGAGATATGTTTTCACGAATAACTCTGTCACTCATTTTCGTCGGCTAGTCTGCCTGTCCGCTAATTATTGACCCCTCAATAACTTAGAAAGTACCGCTTGGATTTTTATGACACTTTTTTTTATACTCCAACTACCACGAAGGCCTAAGGCCTAAACACCCCTTGGGTACTGTGGGGCTATAGGGGGATACAGCGGAAAGGGGGGACGCCACACGGACTCTGGCGAGGGAACACGTGTGCATGCAACATGCACACATTCTGGCTCCGCCTACGAGATCCCCCGGGTGGTACCTCCGCGTTCGACAGTCAGAGACCGTCTACCACCTACGGACAATCACAACATCCATAGCCAAGAGAAAAATTTCTCCTGGGACGCGATTCGAACCCGCACAGCGCACGGCGACTGAAAATAAAAACTGAATAAAAATACTCACTATGTCCACCCAGACGGCTTTTGCACGGTATAAACGCAGCTCTGATGGAAATATCGCATGTATCAATAGGATCTAGAAAACTCTCTCAGTAAATTAAAATCCTACGAGTATCGATAGCTACGTGATTGCTGTAAGAATGTGCCAATCTCGGTTTTCAAATGCGGTTAGTTTATAAACTAGGTTAATACCGCGAGGTGCTTGATTTAATTATTGACTCACATAATCATAGTACCACGAAACATCATACCCTCTGACGTAAGAGCGGAGGGAGGCAGGATCGGAGTTGCTCATTTGGAGTTTTTCGGAACGTAATATCTCTGTTACCATGAAGCTTTGGTATGTGTGTTACTAGGAAAACTTGCTTTTTATTGACTGAACTATATGTACTGTAAAAAGTCACAACTTTGAGGACACCCTGGGTACTGCTTTATAAAGGACAGTATTCAGAATTGAAATGAACGAGGGGAAACAGAATTTCTTTCATACGGGCCGATGAGACATTGGCAAGAGGAAACTTTGTATATTATGATTACGTATCAGACCGAACGTTTTTGATGAGTGGAATAGCAAATTTTATTCAGAGGGAACTAAATCTTAAAAACATTTAAATATAGCTAAGGGAAATACATTTGGGGAATGTTTTGGAGTTGAGGCGAAACCGCAGAATGTCCTTTCGGTCTGATTCCAAAGAAACGTCTCTGTAGCAGGAAAGACTGCTGCGGACAAGAGCCACAACTCCCCCGTTCTTTCTCAGATGGACTGCACCTCGTAATTTGGGAAGCTAAGATGATTAATCGGTGCAGACTCTGAAATGTTTGTCTCCGCCAAGAAAAGCATGACGGGACGATTGGATTGCAGATAGTGATGAACAGCATCAATGTTGCTCTTAATCCCGCAGATGTTCGCGAAATAAATTTTATCCTCGATGTTGTTCCCTCGAGTCCACCGTCCACCCGGACATTCCGAGAGTGGGGTGAGCTTACGTCAGGAATTCTTAATACTCGAGGATCCATCATCATTAGTTTCTTTGTTGGGGAAGATGACCGACTGCGTAGCTTAGGTGTGGAAACATGCGAACATTTATAAGACACCTTGGGAAAGCAGGCGGGTGGTACCGCCTCGGTCGACTGGTTCTTGTCTACCACCTTCCTTTTACTTGTTGATGATGTTAAATAGACCTAAAGTGGTCCGTTGGCGGACTTGTACCGCCACCCGGTAATCGGTACTGAGGTATTTCTTAACGCGTGTACAATCACTTGAACGGGAAGAAGTTGTATACTGAATACAACAGCTTCCGGAACAAGCATTTGCCACGGCCCCGCTCAGTAGGGCGAGGTTTAACGACTAACTTTTGTTTTCATATTGCTGTAAATCATAATTTTTTAATCATAATTTTTGCGGGTAAGAAGCAAATATCTCTCAGAGATTAAATCGCAATTTTTTTTTGTAATCGGGTCAATTGTTTTGGGTGACACCTTTTTAAATATATCATTTTTTCATCCTTTTCTAGTTGGAAAGAACAGCCCTTCACTACGCTATGGGGGTAGAAAAAATGGAGACAATAAGCAAAGTCCTCATCAAAGCAGGGGCGAAAAGAGTAGTGAAAGACTTGAAGGGAAGACAGCCTACGTATTACTTCTTGAATAAATCTGATATACTCAGACTACAAGAGGAAGAAGAAACCTTTTAGGAGATGTAAGAATAAGTCAAAAAGGCTGGAACCAGAGTACGCAATAAATGAACTAAAGTAGAGCAGGGTTCCCATATTAACATCATTTAGTCTATAGGAGCTAAATTAAAAGTACCAATAAGGCAAGAACGGGAATTTTTCATTCATATGTAATGGTTTTGAAAGGTACATATCTCAGCATAAAACAAAAAATTCCCTATAGGAATACAGCTCTTCTCGAAATTTCCTATTTCCATTTTATATTGGGACTTTTAATCTTATGTGCATATACAGTTTGATGACATTCAGGTATATTTCATAAAATTGGCTACTTTTATGACTTATTCCAAAACTAAATTATACAATTTACAACTAAACCGTATATATCTATAACCCCTTTGTAATCCTGTCCTAATCATAATACAGTAGTTATATTTATATTTTTGTACACACTAAGCTCCCCAGTACTTAGTTACACACTACACATTTCTGAATAAAATGTAAGAATAATATACCAATGATTTTCTCCACATCTTACTATTAATTGTAGATCAATAAGGTTTGAACATACATTTTCAAAAACAATGCTCGCATGCATTTTCCAACGATATGCATTTTATTATCTTTTTCCGTTCATGTGTTGAAAGAAAACATCAGTTAATATAATTTTGTTTTTATTCCGGATACTAATAAAATGTAGATAATATTGATTGTCGGATTTTAAAAGTCTTGCTTGTGTCTTGTATGTTGCAAGCTATTTGAAACTATGTGTTCAAACTTCTATACAGGATGTTCGAAACATAGACAGAGATATTTCGGAGGGTGATTCCTTATTAAAAAATATGGGAAAAGTTTCTATGAATACGGGTCCGGAAATGCAGAGGTTTCAAGATACTGGTTGATAAATTCGAAAAAAAATGTTGTCCTTTTTAATTTATTATCTTAAAAAATATTTACTCAATTCTGTTGAAATTTAGCAATAATATCTTTTGTATAAAGGCTAATTTAGCCCTAGAATTATTAGGTTCAGTGGCGTCCCGGGGGGCACCCTTAGCGAATACATATTATTGACTAAAAAATTTACGCCACTGCATTTTTTGTAACTTTGTACTTGTTGTTTGATTAAGCATATAAAGATACAACTTCTTTGCCTCTAGTAATTTTTTCGGAACTCATTTCGTTTTCGAGAAAAAAAATAAAAACCGTTTTATTGCATGTCACTGGACAAAATTAGCTTATTAATTTAAGCACAAAAAATCATTCCCTTATAGAGGTTTTACATTTGCGCGTTAGTGCTTCTAGAAAAGAATTATTGACGTGATTTTATTTGCCACATTTCTAAAAAATTTTTTTTTTCAATTGATCACCTTGAAAACTCATGTTTATAGAAACTTTTTCTCATGTTTTTTTAACAAGGATTTACGCTCTAAAATATCTTCGTCTATTTTTCGAACACCCTGTTTGTATGCTTCTGATCTATGAAAACAATGTGATGAACTTTAGGTAACTAAGGTTTTAGTAGAGCTTACTTTAGACGGTTTTGTATTGTCAATAGAATAAGGACACATGTAGCTTTCTTGTTTATATATCTAAACTTCGTAATATATTATGTGTTATTTTGAGATACTTATTTCTGATTAGCGTCGACATTCCTCCTAAAACAGCAAAATTTTTATTTTCCACTTCACGATGTAAGCAGGTAAAGAAGAATCTCAGTAACCTCTATACCGATTTACATTCATTGTGTTGCTCTTGGACCTGTCATTGTCAGAACGGTTCGCAGGTCCTTTACTCTCGATTAAAATCTTGCGGATCAGTAGGTGTGTCAGGTGTGGTTGATCAGATACCAATCAGTCAGGGACAAGGAAGTACGCACTGATTAAATACTTACGTAGAGGAGGATCGAACGGAGATAAAATTTATACTGATATGGTAGATCTGTCAGGGAGTAGCGGTGGCAGATATTTCACGAACTGTGAATTAGTAACTGATATTTCTGAATAACGACTCACGACTGTTATCAAATACCGCGAAAAAGCGTTTACGTTGGAATATGCGTGAGATGCGAATGCGCACTAGCCGCTAGAATCGAGAATCGTAAACCAACGGAAGACTACTTCCTTATAGGCTTTGGTAGGTGGCTCCACGCGGTATTTGGCTCAGGATATCAGTATACCCATAATCATCGTTATTGGAAAGTCGTGATCATATCACGGTTTTAAATCACTGATATTAAAAAGTATAATGAAATCAGATGTCACATACATTTAAAAATAATAATAATAACAAAGAAAAATATTTATAAGGTGGGTGTCGCATTCGTTAATTTTGTGTCAAAAACGGATTCGAGTGCGACTTTCCTAAACACATCTAGATTCACTTGCAAAGGATAACGTTAAATTGTGAAATCAAACCGCAGAGTAGACTGAACCTGATTGTTCTGCTCCAAACCAAGCAAAGTTGCCTAAATCACATGAACAGATTATAGCATCCATTTTTACTTCACACGCCTACTGACGGGGATACAATGTAATCTCGAAAATTTTAGAAAATGTCACCCATTTCCATCGGTATGCACGCTAATTAATATTATAACTGCCTATACACAATTTGAACGCAACCTTCATACACTGAGCACTTTCTGCGTCTGATTGACTCTAACTGCATTGCCGGTTCTTTCGAGTTAGTATCAGTGTTGTTCTCGATGGATTTTGAATTGTGCAAAGATGTTAATAGAAATTGTGCACATTTCTTTAAAAATGTGCATATATGTATACTGATTTTCTGGCGCAACCACCAATTTAAAAAAAACTTAAATTTCATGGAACCCTTTTATTGTTTAATGCGAATTTAAGAAAATAATACAATAAAAAATATTTATATATTAAATTTAACCAAGGCCATCAATTATGAACAATCATCGGGACTCGGATGCGTAACAAATAGTTACTGGATTAGTATTTTGTATGTGTCTAACAGTACATTTCACTCGTTCAAGCAGCTGCTAAGAAAATTCATTGCCAGTTTTCTATAAAAAAATGCACTTTATTTATTGGCGACTGTGCATATTTTGTGTGGGGGGTGCATATTGTGCATATGTTCGTAAAATTGTGCATAATATGCACAATTGTGCATGTCGGAACATCCCTGGTTAGTATACCAGTGTGGTTCAGCGCCGTTACCAGATGGTCGATACCGGGAAGAAATTAGCGTTACCGTTATGAAATGAGCTTGGTTAGCTGACTTATTCCATTGAATTTTTTTGCTATATATGTTTGTAGCTAGTTCAATGGGACTAACTTATGCCGAACATAATCTTTTATGAACTGATGACAACGTTTTGTGGCAAGTACAGAGTCAATCTACCAATGCAATAACAGCAGATAATTACTGTAGCCGTTTGGATGAGCTGGCTGTAGAAATTCGGGAGAAAATATCAGAATTACAGAATACAAAAGACATCTTCCATCGAGATAGTGCACCTGATCAGCAGAGTGCTCCAACATTGACAAAAATCAGTCAATGATTCTGCCAGATATAGACGGATAGTAACGCCACTCTTATTAGTTCATGATTTTGTAGTGCCACCATGTCTAGGTTCACAGTACAGGGATACGCCAGCATGTACCTCATTTATGGGGAATGTAGATGAAATGCTAGTGCTGCAGCTAGGCTTTACCGTGAGAGGTACTCAAATGCTGCTCGTCATCTTGATCACAGAGTTTCTGTGAATGTGACTCGTTTACTCTCAGAGGGATGATTCCCAAACCAATCTCATGGTGAAGGAAGAACTTCATTTTCTTACGAGGACGTCGTACAACAAGCAGTCGAAGACGACCCGAGCACTTCAGTACGTCAAATGGAAGCAAGCATGGGAGTGCCCAAAAGTACAGCCCACCGAATCTTGCGAATGAACCAGCTCCACCCATACCACGTACAGCGAGTACAATATCTAAAACCTCGGGATTATCTTCCAAGACTTGAGTTTTGTCAAACAATGTTACAGAGACACCGGAAAGATCCGCGATTTTTACAAAAAATTTTATGTACTGATGAGTCGACATTTAAAAAAGATGATTACATCAATCGACACAACTTACACGAGTGGCATATATAAAATCCACATTCGATGAGACAAGATAGATTACAGTATCATTTTACGTGCCGTATCGTCTCTCGTTCCTACAACTGTAGGTCGCCTTTATGGCCTCCTTGATTTTCATAGTATTTTATCTCCTTCAGAAAGGCTGGGGTATTTCTAGACTTCTACGTCAGCGCTCTCCTATTGTGATGCTATGTTTTCTTTTTAAATTGTAGGAAATTTCAGGCTGGTATAACAGATGTTATAAATCAAAAGCATGAACAATTTGATGCATATAGATATTTGTAACATAACCTCAAAATAGAGTGCTGGCAGGGAACAGAAGAAAACTATGAAAGTCAAGGAGGCCATAAAGGCGTCCTTCAATATTGTAGGAACGACTGACGATATGACCCTAAAGTAAAGATGTGGCCCGGGATTCTAAATGGGAGAATCATTATAGCCTTTGAGCTGCCAGAGTTCTTGAATAGCGAAATTTATTTAGAATCTTTATAAAAATCATTTAGCAAATTTATTGGAAGACGTACTACTAAGCATTTAAAGAGACATGCGGTACCAAGCCCGGCTGCCCAGCGCACTATGCCCATTCAGTTGAGAATATCTTGATGCGGAGTACCCGAGCAGATGGATACGGCGGATTCGTACAATTTCGTGGACAGAGCGTTTACATGACTCAAAACCACTCGATTTTTTTTACTATGGAAAGGTTTAAGTCAAAGCCAATCGAAAATTTACCTGGGCGACGGGACAGGATAACGGAAGCAGCTGATTTTGTTAATAACGGAAGATTCGCTCATCTGATAACCCGATCATTTTTAAGATTGCAAGCTGGCATTGCTGCTGAAGGAAGGCAGTTTGAACATTGGTTGTGAATTTACTAATATACATTCACGAATTAATGACAGTTACGTTACATCTGCCTTGCTATCACTTCGTAGAATGTCACTGTCCGTCACTACGTCTAAGAAAAAAAATTGTAATAATGGGAACCAAAAGAACATCATAGAATGTAGATTTTTCCGATTTTTTTTAATGCCTATAATTTGAAAAGTGCACGACTTAAACTTTTTTATATTTATCTGATAAATATTACGACTTAGCATATCTCCTATTTACGGCTTGAAGTCGACTTCTGGGACACCCTGTACATGTATTCGTACTGAAACTCAAGAAACCTACGGAGCTTGCACGAATCGAAACGAACCGCTGCAGAGATGCCGCCCATTTGTGGAAAGAGACAACGTTGCCACATGGTTGGGCCAGTAGGGCAGGGAAAGAATGTCTATGGACTAATTGTATGGGCCTGTTTGACTGACTTAATATGTTTAATTTCTCTGTTCTACATGTCCGTAACTCAATATTTTCTCAGACGATTTGAATTGCGCTGCACGTTATGAACTGATGATGGCGTTGCGTAAGAAGTACAGGGTTTACCCACTTGGCGCCATTTTTTTCATGTAGAGTCCAGACACTTTTCAAATCACCTGGTAAGTTGTTTAGATTGAAGATTAATTTTGTAGCTACTTGTTATGGAGAAAAATAATACCTTTTTTGGAACCTAAGATTAAGCGATACATTCTGTTCACAATGCCAGTCATTTTCTCTCAACTGGTTCACGTGACGGTGACGTTTCCACTAGGCTATAACGTCGCCGTGTCTGTTATTTGATATTGTTCCTTGGGCAAGAGACGTCAAGATCTGTGTGAAGGGCGTCTCAAAGAGTCCTTGCAATCTAATCTAGGAGCATAATTTAAATTGAAAATATGGAATACTCGGTATAAATGAATTCTGCCTCCTTGACAGTTTACTATACAACACCATCAGGTCATGACATTCTGCCGAGTTTTTCGAGTTTTTTGACATTTTTTCTCGCGAAAAAGATTGGTTTCAGTGACCGAAAATCGTTCTATGCCAGACAACGCCAGACTTTCTTCGCCTAGGATCCCTACCAGGTACATTTTACAATTTTTGTTAGGATAAGAATTAATGTGTAGAGATACAATCTGTATTGTGTAAGACCCAGAGCCCTAAACGTTGGAAGATTTAAAAGATGTTCTCAATTTTCTTATCTCAGTATCAGATTTAAACGAGTTATCAGTATCAACAACGCCGATATTTCTTAAAGATTTTAGGTTACTCTAATAGCACAGAGCAAGAATGAGAACGTGCCAGACAACATAGTAAAACTGCTTTGAAACACGACCAACGAGTCTCAAATTGTAGGGCGTAAAAGTAGTGCTTTTCATAAAAACCAGTCTTAATACAGTACAGTACGGACTCATTATACACAAGGTCCGACCGTAGACTAGTTTTTTTCGCCGAAGTCAATAATCAAATCCAAGCGAATAACCAAAATTTCTGTGTTATGTACTGCGGTTATAATATGGCTTAAGAATGGTTTAAGATGACACACGGGTTGATGACGTCAGTTACTCGAATATCTTGAACACGTTGGTGTTAACCGCGGTTTTGTTGCAAGTTTTTTATTTTAGAGAAGCGCGTATATAATTTCTGATGATTATTATTATCACTTGATAATCGGTGCTTTTTCGGCTACAACAGTGTATGGAAAGTAAAAAAAGAAACTATTTATAGTATTAATGGAAAAAATGTTTTTTTCAGCAAATAATTTTTAATGATGGTGCCATGGCTTTGTAGCTATGATAACTTTCAATTTTCTAAACTTTTCCGCATGTTAAAGAAAACATTTGTTGACAGCAAAAATGATAGGAAAAGCCTCAACTTTACCAAAAATGAAGCTGAAGTCACATTTGAGATAATAACGTCAGTCATTGGCATACCAAAGTAAGCGCAGTGCTTGGTGTCATTCAGTTTGTTGCAAGTTAAAATAAATGAAACTACATTAATAAGATATTTTTTATTGCCAAAACAAAAGAATATAGGAAAAAAGTATCTATTCACATCATCTAAATCATAAATCTAGTTGGTACACAAACAATTTTCTTTCTCTCTTGCCTTCAAAGATTTGCAACATGCTTTGCATATGAACTGCTCTATCTTTGTTGAACATGTTTCATAATACATTTTTCATGAAAGGTCCTTGTACCCGAGTAACATTTGACTTTGACACCTTTGTTTGCTTTGCCTATATTCATCACGCATATAAAGCAGAGCCCATTGGTACATTTGACATTCTGCTTGAAATTACATGAATCATCAAGCTCATCTTTGACAAGCCGTTTTACATGGCTTTCCTTTTAGTTTTCAGGTGTAATTAATACACTAGACACTATATTAATTTTGAGGTACTGAACAACTGAAGTTGTTTTTGATACCCTTTGGCTGTTGTAACTTGTTTTGCAGTCGCTTGTTTCTTTTCCTCCAAAAGTTTTTTCTCTCCTCTCGTTTTTTTTCAATCTCCTCTTTCTCTCTTATTTTTGCTTCTTTAATTTCTTTCCAACCAGAAGAAGTTATCACATAAGGATCTTTTTGGCCAGGTTCCTTCTTCCTTTTCCTCTCTGGTGCCTTTGGCCAGTGTAAATAATCCCTGAATGTCGTAATTTCGGATTGTTGATCGTGTGGACGTGGAATGCCTTGCGCTTTTTCTGCCTTATTTTCTGGCGTATTTTCAAATATAACAGTAGCTGCACTAATATCAATTCTGACGTATTTCCAAATATAACAGTAGCTGCACTAATATCAAAGTCATTCTGTGTTACTCCTGCAAACTAAAGTTAGCATCTTCTACCAAATACTGCTTGTTTTCTATGGTAATGTCAGAAGTATCAACACGGGAAACTGGCACTAACTACCTGATTCAGTACAGAGGCGAATTTTTCTTTTGTCATGGCTTCTCCAGGATTTGAGCGTTGCCAGTCCAAAACACATTTCTTCCATCCATCCTTGATGGGCTTGAATGCAGCCATATCCGCAGGTTGCAGGATTCGAGTTGCATTGGGATACAGGGCTATTAATATAATACCGAGCTTTGTGCATAATTCACTCACTTGATATGTGAGGTGAGTTGTGTGTCCATCTACCAACAGTACCACAGGAAGTGGTATTTTGCTTTTCAATAAAAATGGATGGAAGGCGTTAGCTATATGTTCATAAAAGGGTTCTGACGTCATCCAGCCATTGTCACTCTTGCCAATAGACCATGACTTACGGCGAGATGAATGGATTTCCTCTGGAATTCTTTTGTAGGGATATACAACCATTGGAAATACCACAACCGCACTTGCAGAGAAACTGAACATGACTGTTAATGTAGCTTTGGCTTGTCCCCTTTGAATTTCATACACATTTTTTGCTCCACGAGGAGTTAATACCTTTTTGTTTGCCGGACATAGCTGAAAATTGGTTTCATCAGCATTGAATACCCTATTCGGATTCTCGAGCACGTGGTCAAAATGTTCTTTCATGTAATTATCTACCTCAGAAAACCACTTCCTGATATCGTTTTCGGATACGTTGGCACTGGCCGCTGTGACACCTTCTGCTGTTCTGAGAGTGATTTCTGGGTGTTTTCTTAAAAATGCTTGGTACCATCCGTTAGCGAAAGATTGTCCTTGAAAGGGTTTGATTTTGGAAACTTATCCAAAAATCCTTTAACAGACCTTGTTATGTTGTCTTTTTTTCTTGGGAAACCTTTTCGATTAGATTCAAAAATCCATTTGATTAGTAAATTTTCCTCCTCCGATGTCATTCTAAATTGCATGGTTGAACGAGGAACGCCGAAGATTCCAGAACCCTTTTTCTGTGTAAATTTTCCACTCTCTATAGCAGCTACTGTATTAGCAATAGTCTCCTCATCATATTCCTTTTCGTACTTCTTTCCTGGAACCGGTTTCGGCATTGTTCTGTAACCAATAGAAATACTGTATATCGTAGATAATAGTGATGGTGGCTTTGTAAAAGAAAAGGAACTTCTAGAGATTATCCGATGAATTTTCTTGACCAAACAGCTTTTAGGACAATCTACCATATAGAGACTAGTAGGTACAAAACATTTTTGAGAAGACATCCAGTCAACAAAATTGAAACAGTAGAGGGCTGCGTAGCAGACAGTGTCAATGTATCGGAACAATATACCAGAAAATGGTTTTTCGGAGCAGATATTTAGAAGAAAGGAGAGCATTTGTTTGAGGCGCTGGAAGATCCAAATAAGATACCCAATACCGCCGAAATCAATTTTCAACATCACAAATCTTGAAGCTTGCAAATGCGGCTGCATTCAAACCTATCACATCACAGGCTACTGGAAGCCATTTCTTTTGAACTGAGCAAATTCGAATCCCACAGCTTCTGGCTGTTTGTTGTTGTCATTTTTTGATTGGTCGAACAGGGAAGTAGCAACCTTGGATCTAAATAGCAGAGTTTGAATGTGTGCAAGGACATTTATTTTTCCACAAAACAGCATGTGTATCGTTCTTCCATTCCTCTAAGTCTAACCTAGAGTAATAGCTAATGGAAACCACCAGCACTTGGACACAGCGTTCTTGATAGATTGAATATGAAGAGATGGAACAATATGTTTTATCGCGTAAGCCGAAGTCCTTTTACCTATGACTAACATGCCAAAAAGTACATTGACTCCGTGATTGGCATTCATGAGCCAATGACTATTTTTTAATATTTTGGAGTGGACAGTGATTGGCACCATCAAAAGAGATATAAAATCGGACAATTATAGACGTTTATAATCAAACATCTAACTATAAGATATACTATTAATGTAAAACTTACCTGCAATAGCTCTTACACACTCTTACAACTATTAAAATACATCCATTTCAAATAGAGGTTCCTCTTCAGTAACCAAAAAGAATATAACAGATATAAGGCTAAAGATGGGTATATTAGAGTATTAACTTTTCGCATAGTTGTATGAGTAATTTACGATTATACAGGGTGTTTCAGTTTATTGTTGCATAACTTTGAGGTTCGATAGAACTTTTAAAATTAATGCATAAAGTCTATATAAACATGGGTCGAAAAATGCGTGGCTTCCGAAATACAGGGTGTTTAAATTTACTTTCTAAAATAGTTTTTTTTAAATATTTCGAACAGTATTTGATGTATAACAGTGAAAATTGGTATACAAGGGTTTTTTGGTACGACAAAACGAACCATGGGCATAGTTTTACTGTAGCCGCTAGAGGGCGCTCTCTACTGTACCTGTAGTGTATTAAAATGACCGAAAAATTTTTCTTAGTGCAATTTTTTGCTTTTTGAATAAAAAACTGATTCTTCGCACTTTTCAACATAAAAAAGCTCTCCTATGAGTTTTCCTTATAGTTAGCCGTTTTTGAGATATTTCGATTTTTAAGGTTCGATGCATTTTTAATTATTTATGGGAAAATAATATTTTTTTTACATTTTCGATTTGGGCATTACAAGTAATTAAGATGATCGTTTCGATTGTGTTTTAAACACAGCAATAATTCCTAACTCCAAATAAACACAAAAAAAAAATAGAATATTAATTTGTTTAATTTTCCAATATTATTTTTAACAAATTAAATTAATTATTTACAACTAAAATGCTATTGGATAGTTAGGACAAACATACAAAATCGAGAGTAGTTGCTCGAAATGTAAGCCCAATTGTTCAATACACAATTCACATCTACGAATGATCGAACGTGGTATAGCATTATTCAAATAAGGCCTTATTTCATCACATGCATTCCTGATTCTGTCTATTAGCATATCTCTTGTGGTTACGGGAGTCTGGTACACTTTTTCTTTTAGAAATCCCCACACAAAGAAATCTAATGGATTTAGGTCAGGGGGCAACTGGTCCTCCACGGCCGATCCATCTTTCTGGATAATTTTCGCTGGAACCAGGCCAGTCTTCTGCGACCAAATATGTTGATTATGAAAATTTACCACTCCACGTCTAGTGAAGCATGACACATCGGTCCATAAAACGTTACTTAAAAACTCCCTATTATTATCAGTTCTATCAAGAATCCACTGACAAAATGTGATTCTTCGTTCTCCGTCCCCTGGCTGTAGTCCTTGCACAGGTTGCAAATGGTAAGGACGTCTATGGTCATTTCTAAGAACACGGTGAACATGACTTGCTGAAATTCCCAAGGCACCAGAAACTCTCCTAACACTTGTGGTCGGATCTCTATCAAACTCACGAAGAATCATACGGGTAAATCTGCGCTGACGAACATTTATGTTTTGATCCCTTTGGAGATTTCCAAAACCATTTTCAATTATTTGGCGATGCACTCTTACAAATACTGAGCGAGTTGGATGTCGTCTGTTTGGAAATCTTCGTGCGTATTCTCTGGCTGCTTCTGCTGCGTTTCCAAAGCCATACACAAAATGAATATCCGCTAACTCTTGATTGGAGAAAAAAATGGCATTTTTATAAAACTTACAAAAAAAAAACAGGTGAAAGAATTAAATTTCGTGCATTCACAATTGCAAAAAAACGTTTCAGGTTTCAACAGACAACAAAACTAACTGTCAACTAATTGACGTTTAACCTTATTCTGCTTTCAATTACAAAAATATTTGCAGGCACAGCCTACTTCTAAAAATTATCGATATACTGACTTTTTAACGTTATTTTATCATAAATAATTAAAAATGCCTCGAACCTTAAAAATCGAAATATCTCAAAAACGGCTAACTATAACGAAGATTCACAAGAGAGCTTTTTATGTTGAAAAGTGCGAAGAATCAGTTTTTTTATTCAAAAAGCAAAAAATTACACTAAGAAAAAATGTTCGGTCATTTTAATACACTACAGGTACAGTAGAGAACGCCCTCTAGTGGCTACAGTAAAACTATGGTTCGTTTTGTCGTACCAAAAAACCCTTGTATACCAATTTTCACTGTTATTCATCAAATATTGTCCGAAATATTAAAAAAAAACTATTTTAGAAACTAAATTTAAACACCCTGTATTTTGGAAGCTACGCATTTTTCGACCCATGTTTATATGACTTTATGCATTAATTTTAAAAGTTCTATCGAATCTTAAAGTTATGCAACAATAAACTGAAACACCCTGTATATACTCAGTGATAGAAGTGTTACACCAAGAAAAAATAATGTTTGCAATTTGATTTTCTGGCAATGAGGTTGTCTTACATCAAGAATGAAACGATAACATTCTCACGAAATTTTATTGACAAGTAATAAGAAAAAAAAATAATGGGTTGCAGCTGAATACACTGCTGTTTACGGTTCTACTGAGATTTCAGTTGGGATCTCGATACACGGCCAATACATACTTTCAAAATCTTTGGTTCAGGTAATAATTTCATAGTATTCAAATTGATTTGAACTTCTTACTTCCAGAGACTTTCTGAAAATATCATTTTGAGACATAATTATACAGGCTGAAAAATCAATTATACTCTTAGTCCATATCCTTGGAAATTTAAATGAGTTGATGGTTTTAACTGGACGCATTCAACGTGAGGTCCAGTGTTGTTCCGTTGAAAAATAATGTTATGTACAATATGCAGCAGAAATTGCATAAGTATATTACATGGTGATGTAACTTCAACGTATTTTGACAAATTGATTTTTTTCTTTTTTTCCCACTAAGCACAAGCTGGTCAATAGAAAGCCTGAAGTCGGACCAAAAGGTCATCAGAAAATTTATTAATTCTGCAATCTACGTGGAAAAACCCATAATGCCGCCGCTTAGGAAAAAAAGTCCGATGTTGGCGTATTCTAGCGAAGAAGATACACACAGATTAGACAGAGCAGGAGTCAGGACTAACCGCATTGACAGGGCCGTTAAAAGGTTCGTATATTTTAGAATTTAGATCATTGCTTGAAAACATGCGACATGTTTGCGTTCTTTGAGTGGACTGTCATTCAGTGATGCCTTGAAGCATAGGAGGCTCCTTCAATACCGACGTATAGTAGTACCAAGCTTTGGCGAACTGATCATAGATGGCAGTAATGTTCATAGCTTCTGCTAACGATATCACAAAACTATTAGTCTAATCATATTAGCAAATTTTCCCGAAATAATTGTAAAGTCTGGTTTTATTGGTGCAAGTTGTTTTTGTTGTTGTTAAAACATGGACGCATAAAATGGGTACACCAAGTTTTGTGGGAAAACTTTTTATTTGACAACAAAGAATGAGAAAACGTGTTTTTTGGATCGAAAGTGTTGGCAGGAACAAAAAACTTTTCATATAAGATTTTTAGGTATTTATGAGACCTACAAAGTGAGGCCACACGTAAAAAGATCCGACTAATAGCAAAAATGTTATGGCCGAAAAACGAGGCAAGATACCGGTTTTGGCACGTGTTGGTAACGCGACGATTATTTCACGCAACTACTTGAAATTGTTAGAATCCGTAGGATTCATACTTCTAAATGACAAAAACAAAATTGGGGTATATCGGTCAAGTAGTTTTTTGAGAATTTCTAATTATTTATCCCAAAACGGCCATCACTACTAGTTTATTGAGCAATATAAAGGGTTCGTTCAAAGAATATTTAATAGCAAAGTACACGTGTTTACCTTGCCGATATGAATCACAAACCATTCCGAAAGATAAATGTTATTTTTATGCGAAAAACAAAGGTTACGTTTTTTTCTTCTGAAAAGATTCAAACATTTCGTATTTGTGTGTAATTGAACAAATGCGCTACGATATTCGAAAAACATACGTTACTACGTATATACATATTTTAAAACAAAGCGGGTGTGTCTATCATCTTTTGTTGCGAATTACTCACAAATACGAAATGTTTAAATTTGATTAGAAGAAAAAACGTAACCCAACCTTTTTTGCATAAAAATAAAATTTAACTTCCGGAATGGTTTGCGATTCATACAGGCAAGGTAAACTAGTGTATTTTGCTATAAAATGCCCTTTGAACTAACCCTGTATATTGCTCAATAAGCTAGTAGGGATGGCCGGAAAACAGGTGTTTTGGTATAAACAATTAGAAATTCTCAAAAACTACTTCACCAATCGACTCCAATTTTGTTGTGGTTATTTAGAAGTAAGGAGCCTTCGGATTTGTTTCAGCTAGCTGCATGAAATTATCGTCGCATTAGTAACAAGGGCCGAAACCTGCATTTGGCCTTGTTTTTCGGCCATAACTGTTTTACTATTAGTGGGATCTTTTTACGTGTGGTCTCATTCTGTAGCTCTCATAAATACCTAAAAGTCTTATTTGAAGAGTTTCCTCGTTCCTGCCGACATTTTCGATTGAATCGCAAAAACACGTTTTCTCATTCTTTGTTGTCAAATAAAAAGTTTTCCCACAAAAATTGGTGTACCCATTCTATGCGTCATGTTTTGAATACCCCCTTGAACAACTTGCAGCAATAAAACCAGACTTTACAATTATTTCGCAAACCAGGGGCATTTTCGTCTAATATGATTGGACTATATAGCAAGAAATGCATGCAAATGGAAATAAGACAAACATTCACAGTGATATACCAGCAATCAAAAATGGTGTGATAACGATTACTTATCGTTTAATGTAAATAAGACAAAATAATAATAATAATAATAAATTTATTCGATTCTTTTACATCATCTGTCCAACATTGATAAGTGACTAAAATTTTGAGAATCGAATCGGTGGAGTGTTAATATGATGATATTTTTCAACTCAACCGTACATCCTAATATGAAATTGACCTGAACGGCTCAAAAATGAATAATGAAGTGATCAGCGATCTATTACTATAGATTTATGTTTTTTTGTAAAACGAGATAAATTTATCGTATGTGACCAATTTATTTCAAAGCTATCAGGGTAGATTGGATGGCAGAGTGGTGAGGGAGTGATTATGTACTGCTGAGTAACCACGACTTCAGCTTCTTCTTAAAATTGTTGAGAGTATAATTTCGAAATTCATATGGAAGACTATTGTATAACTTGGCAGCAGTATAAGAAAAGCTCTTTTAGTAGAGAGACGTAAAGTGATTAGGTATAACTAATAATTGTCGATCTTTGGTAGCCAAGTTGAGTTTATTTAAAAGATATTATGGTTTCTTATTCACTAAAATTTTATGAACCAAACATAAGATTCGGTATTTTCTGAGATTTTCCATGTTCATTTTATAATTCTCTTTGGACACATGGCTTATGTGATCAAATTTCCGTATACCTAGAGAAAAACGGTAACAAGAATTTTGTGGCCGTTGTCATTTGTCTTTATCTTTCATTATAGCTGGGCCATATACACTTACGCAGTATGAAACCCTTGAAACTATAAGAGCATCACACAATAGCATTTTCAGTTTACTATTTCATATGTTTCTTTGAGGATATATTTCTGTGAGAATGCTATATGATTTTGAGCATAATTCTTTAATATGGAAATCAAATTTTAATTCATTGTCCAACCATAACCCTAAATTTTTGCTAATGGTTACAACTGGTAATGGAATTTTAGTAATTGCTAATTGATAAAGATTTTCTGCTATATTACGCTTGTTTCTTGACCCAAAAAACATTATTTTAGATTTATTAGCATTTAGTGTCAAGTTGCTGAGATATTGAAAAGTAAGTCCAGATCGTAGTTAATTCGATTAAAAGAGGGAACAACAACGTCAAGGGCAAAGTTGTAGTATACTTGTGTATCATCTCATCATAGTGATGAATTTTGCTGTGTTTTACATGTTTTAAAAAATCTGAAATGTATATAGAAAATAAAAGAGGACTGAGAATGGAGCCTTGGGATACACCCATTTTTAGAACCGATTTATTAGATAATTCGTTATTAATGGAGATATACTGATATCTTCTAGTAAGGAAGCTTTTTATACCTAAGTTAGGCGGCAGCAGAGCTGAATCCATAATATCTAAGCTTGGAACACAAAATTCCGTGGTCAATTGTATCAAAAGCCTTACTGTAATCTAGTAATATTAAACAAACAGCTTCACCGTAATCTAGGGAACTAACAATGTTGTCGACGATACAAGCAAGCGCTGTTATTGTGTCACAAGCATGGCTTTTAACTGTTCCCTTGTTTGAATGAATTCAAATAATGAGATGATACGTAAAACCGAGACAGCATAAAGTTTTTAGAACTGAGCATTAATCACAAATTAGATTTTAATAATTATTGATCGCTCAACTTTCAAATATGTCCTGTATTACAAGAACAATTAGCTAGAGGTCTACTAATTAGATTAAATATATCTACGATATTCGCCAAAAGCATGCTTTTTAATTATCAGTAGGGACCTAACAGAGAAGGTCACAATAGACCAAAGAGTCGCAGTGGAGGATCGTTATTGATGTACTCACAAAAAACCTAACCTAATAGAGAAGGTACATATATCAACACTTCTGAGAGACTCAATATATCTGGTGTTTCAAAATTCGACCCACACGATTGGAAACTTGGAAATGGTAGAGATATGAAGTCGCTTAAATGGAAGCAAAGTTACGTATTTAGGTAACTGTCAAAATGCCGCTCAGAAAGTTTCGAAACTCGGAGAAATTTCCCAAAATCGTTTTAATTTTTTCCTGACTTCATTTGTAGTGGGATTTTAAAATAAATTGCACATTAACAATACCACTTTTTTCTTCTGCAAGATGGCATAATTAGGAGTACAATATGCCGCTTCGTCTCTTCTACTCCAGCATCAACTTAATTTCTTCTTATAGATGCCATATATTATTCCAAAAAAGTATATGTCATACATTGACATTGCCAAACCGTAGTTATTTCAAAAAAACAGAATTTCCCAGATTGGAATTATCAGATATTCATTTCTTTCGTACACCAGTGCATTCCTTAAATTGCCTATAGTAACAGTTTGGAAGAGTGAGAAGGGAAATAAACCAAGCAGTGAACAACTTACAGACAAGAGTCAGGCCTTGCATACAAATAAGGGACAAGGTTTTGAACATCTTGTAGAGGCGAAAAAGTGACAACGATAACATTCCGATAATTTCAAGGGCTACCTAGGAAATTCTATTTTTTTTAAATAAATTAAGTTTGGCAATGCCAATGCATGACATATTACGAGTATATATTTTTGGAATCAGATTTAAAAATCCTATTCCTTTGTGCGAAAATAAAATATGGGGTCTATAAGAAAAAATAAAGTTAATGCTGGAAGACAAGAAACGAAACGGAGTGTAAAGGAGAAAACGTGGCAATGTTAATGTGCAATTTATTTTGAAATCTACAAATAAAGTTAATGAGAATAAATGAAAAAATGGCATAACTCGGTTTTTTCCGTTTCATTCAGGTAATACTATGAATTTTGGAACTTTTTAAGCGGCATTTTGTTGTATCTCTTACCGTTTCCGAGATCCAATCGTGAGGGTCGAACTTGAAACACCCTGTATAATGGTCTGAAAATCACAATCAATAAACCATATTATAGGTACTTTGTGCGAGTTCTAAAATACGTTTATACATGTAATTAGGTTAGCTTTGTCAATAAGAAAATGTTATTCATCAGACAATAAAGCATGACCCTCTATCTACGAGTATATTCCATCTCAAAAGTATATTTCTTGTTACTAGGTGTACATGTAACACTTCTCCCGACAGCTGCCCATTTCACCAGGACAAGAAGCAGGACAGTGCCAGGACGAACCGTTCGAATCGTACCAACCGTTCGGGAGCAAGCGGAGACCTAATGGGTGCCAAAATGACCGAAACGTCGGACGAGTCATCTTCTAGTGATACCAACAGCCAGATCACTGTCAGATCGAGGAATGCGCATAGAGTGGAAACCAACGACGGAAGTACCAATAGGAATGATACTAAAGGTGAGGGGCATGTCAGACTTTGTTCCAACAAGCAGTTCCGAACTAGTTCCAACTAATTCCAAATTATTTTTCTGCGCATACCCGAGGTAGGTACAGTTCAGAACTAAATCCATACTCTTTCGTTGGAGCAGATATATATGGCATGTTGTCGTAAAAATAAACTAAATTGAAATAAAATTTATAATCATCAAGATACCGTGTGCGAGACCGAATTTGAGAAAATTTATTGTTTTTTGACAAACTGCACATCTTTAAAAAAATGGGAAGACGAGATTGTAGATTTAGTAAGAGATGAGTAGATTACTTACTAGATAGCGATTTTATCACGTTAACGACCAGCGCTAAATTTTTGATATTTTCTTTTCGACCAAGGTATTTTATTTACACATCTAAATACATCTGTGTCCCTATTAGACCCATATGACTTGAAACATTACCGTTGACTGTGCCCACATAGGAACACATGGTCTGTCCAGAAAACAGAGTGTGCACCAATATGATGCACATGGTCGTTAACCTGTTGAAAAAAGAGTACGATGTCTTTAGAGCTGGGAGCATTTATCATTTTGACTAGAGCATCGCGAGCAGAGGAAGAAAATTAAGACAACAAAACATATTTTTAACACGCTTTTATTAGCTTGTATGTATGTATGTATGTAGCGGAAACTTCGCACACGTATCAAGGAACGATGACAATTTGATAGTTTTCCATTATTCTTATTAGGACCGCCAGGATTGATAAATTCTTTTATAGATGCTCTGTAGGGGATTAAGAGGGATAGAGCTAGCGCGCGCTCTGCGCATGCGTGCAGTTTCGGACTTACTCTTTGTCGGTTCGGGCTCTCGGCCCAGCACAACGGAGGCAGTTACTTTTTCAAGGTAGTACATTCTCACCTTACTCATGGCAAATGTTGCCATTAATCCTGAGTGGGGCTTTGACCGTCCACAAGATGCAAGGTAGTACAGTGGATCATGGAGTTATTTATCTAGGCTTGCGACTGTTTGCTGCTGGGCAGGCTTATGTAGCACTTAGTCTAGGTTAACAGGTAAAACCGCATGCAACAGTGAAGCTTCAAATGAAATGATTAGATTAGGAAATGATTCGTAAGACATTTCAATACGACATGTCCACAAAAAAATAATAATTGATAAATCGAACTAAAAAATGAAAAATAAATAATGGTATAATAAAAAAACACGCTTTTATAGCTAACCGAACTAAGAAGTAGAAAATAATTTTTAAGTACCAAGAGTTTATATTACAGTAGTAGATGGCCGAACAGTCAATCATAATTAATGACATTAAAATAAAATTATAATAAAATGTAAGTTATTAACAGAATAATTCATTCAATAAAAAGCGTGAGGTGCATTTTCATAACTCTCCTCTCATAGATAGTTGCCAAGAATGATTGTAGATATCATTTGATATATGCACTAATGCACTAATTATCTTTAACTTGATAGAACATTTATGTACACCACTATTATTGTCTGACTCATTCTTATGTCACTATTGACTGCACTATACTTACTTTCGCTCTGCTACTCCACCGCATTCAGTACTCTCCTTCCATCTCCAGGCCGCCGAGTTATATATAGTCCCCATTGCTGCTTCGAGAAAGGTCTGGTGCACCAAAAAGCGGCAGCTAAAATATTGGAGGTCACTTCGCGTCGATCTAGAAGGCGATCCACTGTCACGGTCCTCACAGACGCCGAAAAGCGGCTTGTGCGGTCGTGGTTCGCGTAAAAGCATCGGCCATGAAGCTCTGGCGAGTAGGAGACTCGCCCAACAGATGGCGCCAACAGTACTATTTGTCACAATAACTTAAGTTTTATTTTGAGATAATTAATTATGATCGACTGTTCGGCCATCTACTACTGTAATGTAAACTCTTTGTAATTAAAAATTATTTTCTACTTTTCAGTTCTGTTAGCTATAAAAGCGTGGTTTTTAAACTATTATTTATTCTACCTGGTAATCACTAAGCAATTCATTGACTTCAAATGAAAAAAATATAAAAGATTAATATACTAAGTGACATATAAATCCGAACACCCAGTTTAAATGGTTTTATTTTAATAAAAGTTGGTGAATGTATTTATCTTGCTGTAAATAACAAGTGAAAAAATTTTCAGCCTTATCAGTTGGACATTCCCGTTTTTATACTGCTTTTTTTTAATTCACTAACGCTCTAAAAATGAATATTTCAGCCGCAGTAAAGAATCAACGTTGGCGGATTTTGGTTCTGGACATCCTTTACGATCGGTTACGATGCCTAGAGTACGGAGACCTGTACGATTTCGTCAACTTAGTGAGTTTGATAGGGGCCGTATAGTGGGACTTCGGGAAGCTGGACTTTCTTTTCGGGCAATTGCAGTTAGAGTGCAAAGAAGTGTAGACACTGTGGTTAGGTGTTGTCAGGCATGGCTTCGAGAAGGCCGTACGCAAAGAGCAAGGGACACTGGACGCCGCCGTAGAACAACAGACCATGAAGATCGCCGCCTAAGATTATTGGCCTTAAGGGACCGTTTCTCCACTACCAGGTCCATTGCAAATGAATGGTTTGCAGAACACGGAAGACCTATTGGCATGCGAAGTGTTTACCGACGAATGAGAAGTTTTGGCTTGTTTTCATACCGGCCACACTGGGTCCTCCCTTTAACTCGAGAACACCGACGTAATCGCCTTGAGTGGTGCAGACAACGGTCACTCTGGGATCAGGAATAGAACAGTATTGTCTTTAGTGACGAGTCTCGATTTTGTTTAGGCATGCACGATGGTCGTGCCAGGGTTAGAAGGCGACGTGGTGAAAGGAGGAATCCACAGTGTTTTGTTGAAAGACATGTTCATCACACTGTTGGAGTTATGGTTTGGGATGCTATAGCTTATGGTTCCAGGTCACCTTTAATCTTCATCAGAGGTAACATGAACGCGCAGCGTTATATCCACAAAGTTCTAGAACCCCATCTTTTACCCTATCTTGACACCCTGGCAAATCCAACTTTCCAACAAGATAATGCCCGACCACATGTTGCAAGGGTCACAATAGACTTCTTTCAACATAATGATGTCACATTGTTAGCATGGCCACCAAGATCTCCCGACTTATCCCCAATTGAGCACGTGTGGGATATGATGGGTAGGAGATTGCTCAATTTGCAACGTCCTCCTCAGACTCTAGAAGCACTTCGAGAGGAGTTGGTGGTTGCCTGGAATGAGATACCACAGGAGGACATTGACCACCTGATCAGAAGCATGCCTAGGCGCGTTGGAGAATGCGTAGCACATCAGGGTCAAAGGGCTTTAAAGCAGTGCAATCATTTTGAAATTTTTATCATTTACTTATTATGCTTCATTAAGTACTTATACAAAATTTTATTAAAATAAAACCATTTAAACTGGGTGTTCGGATTTATATGTCACTTAGTATATTAGTTATACCAAGATAGAAAGACATACATGAAAGCTATCAACAATTCAGGCGAATCTTATAACCAGAAACCATATTGTTCAATATTGTAGTTCTATCAACGTTCTATACTTGAACTGAAAAGTTGCTCAATATAATGGAAAGGAAAACAAGCTGGCACTATGGAATTTGACGTCCGACTTGTTAAGAACAGCTATGAACATCTGATCAATGCCATTCACTCTGTAAGCGCACATGCGCTAACAAATTCAATCTTTGAGTACTCTCTCAAAACGAGAAGTGTCAGAAACGGCTCAGAACTGGTAGAAATCAGTACGGAATTTGTTTGAACAGTGAACTGCCAGTTTCGGACTTAGTTCCATTTTCTGTAGGAAGAGTGATTTCAATCTGCGCATGCTCTCTTTAGTCCAGAACTAGTTCGATGGTTTTTTTGGGACAAAGCTTATGATGCGGGGCCCCAGCTTACAGCGCCCCGACGTGTGAAAAATGAATATAAAGTCAATATCTTTCAAAACGGCGGAGCTACAGGCTATAGAAGTTGAGCGTTTTTGTGCCTTCAATCGCTAATAACTCTTGCATCAAAACATTTTAGTCTGTTATATTAGTCTCTTTCTCTTGGAAGGGTCCATCTGAATGTGCAATAAATAGGAGGACACCCAGTTTTTTATCACAGACTATACGTTTTGATGATTGGTTGTTGGGTTATGAGCAACTCAACCTACAAACACGCTCATCTTTGACAGCCTGCCAGATCGCGATTTTGAAAGGCAGTGATTTCATATTCTAAGGTTATAAAGTGCCCATGGAGATAAAATTGAGGTACTAAACCTCCCCGTCTAAAATGGACCCGTTCAATAAATAAGTTGCGGGGACATTTCTGAAAATCACTTTATTCAGGGTGTTTCAAATTCGACCCTCACAATTGGGATCTCGGAAAGACATACGATGTCGCTTAAATGGGGGCAGAGTTGCGTATTCAGGTATTCAACAAAATGCCGCTGAGAAAGTACTTCCGTAGAGAGACGGAAAAAAACATTTTCCCAAAACCGTTTCAACTTTTTACTGAACTTGTTGTTACCACATTTCTTTTCTATAGGATGGCATAATTATAATTTCAGTATGGCGTTTCATCTCTTATCCTCCACGATCAACTTCATATTATAGACGCCATTTTGAATTTTTCTGCAAATGAATAGAGTATTTAATTCTGATTCCAAAAATGTATGATACGATATACATTGATGTTTCCAAACCTTAGTTATTAAAAAAAAATCCTAGGTAGGCCTTGAAATTATCAGACCCTCAGCAGCGATGGCCGCAGTAGTAGACTCTTCGGTCTCCTGATCAGTCGCCGTGCTCTGTGCGGGTTCGTATCCCGTACCAAGAGACATTTTTCTCTTAGCTATGGGTGTTGTGATTGTCCGTACCTGGAGACGGTCTCTGACTGTCGAACGCAGATCTCGTAGGCGGGGCCAGAATATGTACATGTTGCATGCACACTTGTTCCCTCGCCGAGTCCGTATGGCGTCCCCCTTTCCCCGGTATCCCCCTATAGTCCCACGGTACCCCATGGGTGTTTAGGCCTTAGTGGTGGTCGGAGTATAAAAAAAAATATTTTGCCTTCCAAATTTATCCCACTTTTATTCCTTCCTGACTCCATTTGAGATGGGATTACAAAATAAGTTGCATGTTAACATTGATGATGAGGTGGCATAATTAGAATTTCAAAATAGAGGAAAGGAACCAAATTTGAGATACTTTTTTTGAAAAGTACTTGTTGCTTTAAACGTGCGTATATTTCTAAATAAACTTGCGATTTGATGCTGCTAGCATACTCTAAAATAAAAAAGTAATATTAAATGTATTTTTTACAGACAAAAAGTATATTTTAAAAAAAGTAAATATTTTTGTGAATTTACAGCTGGTTTCCTAATTTGAGATACTACGAGTATTCAAAAAAGCCCTTTGTTTTGCAGAAAGTGCAAATGAAAATGTTATTGGTAATCTCCTCACAATTTTTATGTGCCCATCTACTACAATGGCAGCCTTCTTATCTTCGGAAAATCGACCCGTACAAAATAAACATTCTGAATCGCCTTCATTTTGCTTTCGTATGAAGATGAATCATCCAACTTTAGGCTTCCGCTGCATGCTGAATTTGAACTGGATGGGGAAGATATCTATCCGAATCCGTTTGAGGCTTTTAAATAATCCTTCTCTTCTTTACTCTTGCGTTTCCAGGAGTGTCTCAAATTAGGAATTTTCCGTTAAAAAGTTTACACAAGCATATTCAGGTTATACTTATATATATAGACTTCGAAGTTGAGTCATTTATTTTAACAGTGAGTAGATCTGATCAAAAGAAATGTTTTTTCCTTTACCATTTTCCTGGTAAAATTAAAGTAACAAAGTTATAGCCCTTTGGAAGTTTGAGTACCGCCCTGTCTCAATAACAATATTATGTGGTCGTGTTTGGCGACAATGGATATAATCCGCCGTATCGGTTCATCGCATCGGAAACAAAAAAGCGAAAGAATTTGGAACGATGTTTTTACAGGTATCTCATTCATTTGTATACAGTTAGTGTCAGTGAATAGTGGTATGTGTTGCGTGGCTCAAACGAAATAAAAAATGGCACATGTTTATGCGGATCGGTTTCCCAATCGAGTGCAACCAACCCCTCGTGCCTTTGTTAATGTAGTACAACGGGCTTGTGAATCAGGTGACTTAAGACCTCACAGGGGACCTCACGATCAAATACAGGTCCGCACTGAAATACTTGTCGGGAGGATAGTTTATAAAACAAGGTAAAAATTTTTTTTTATTTTTACACACATATTTTGGTTAATCTTCCTTCTACAATCATTATCTGAAAATTAATGACTCAACTTCAAAGTATACCTAATAAAATCACAATATTGTAAAATAAAATAAATAAGGTATTTGTAAACTACTAAATTTATATCGGACAATTATTGTTCTAAGTAACTTACCTTAATTTTAGTAATCACTTTTCTCGTACTATTAAAAATATGTTTAACTCTCAAGAAGTAACAAGTTGTGATGTCACAGCAAACCATGTGCAAAACTAAACTGCAAACACATGTAGAATACTGCTGCGTCTTAGTTCACAACTGTTTGGTATTACTAGAAGATGCTGCTACATAGATACAAAGTTACACCACTGTCTCAAATTAGGCGCTTGTCTCAAATTTGGTTCCTTTCCTATAATGTTTCCTCTTTTGCCCCCCCACATTAACTTTGTTCTTTCTTATGGACGCCATATTAGATTTTTGCGCAGATGAATAAAGTTTTCAATAATTCTGATTTAATTAATGGATAATATGTCACACATTCACATCACCAAGCCTTAGTTATTCCAGAAAAATAGACGTTGCTAGGTAGGCCTTGAAATTGTCAGAAAACAATAGAGTTTGGAAGACCGCTTATTTATGATTATTATTATTACCATCAATAAAATTTTCATTTTGTGTTCGGTTTTCACCATACCTTTTTAATTCTTTATAATTTTCGTCAAACAACAAACTCATGGCCAACTAAGGAAATATATCAGTGAATTTAGAACTGAAAAATCCATTTAAATGTACAAAATTCCAATATAGCGTCCATGTGAAAACACAAAGTTGGTGATGGAAGTCGAAAGAAGAAATGTCGAATTGAAAATTTGACTATGCCATCTTGTAGAGGAGAATAAGTATCAAGAAATCAAAATAAAGTCAGGAAAACATAAAAGTGATTTTGGGATAAATCTGGTATGCCAAACAAATGACTACCTGATAATTTCAAGGCCTACCTAGGAAATTCTGCTTTTTAAAATAGTTAAGGTTTGGCAATGTGAGTGGATGACGTATTATACATTTTTGGAATCAGAATTAAAAGCTCTATTCACCTGTGCAAAAATCCAATACGGCGTCCATGAGAAAAAATTAAATTGGTGCTGGAGGACAAGAGACGACACGTCATATTGTAATTATAATTATGCCTTCTGGTAGAGGAGAAAAGTGGAAATGTTAATGTGCAATTGAAGACACAAGTGGATAAAAGTGTCACGTAACATTTTCTTAAAAATTGTTTTTTGCATTATCTAACAACCTTAAGGAGTGCTTCTTTCATTCTGTGATTACTTTGTTGCAAAAACAAGATAATAAACTAATTAAATTGAATATTTAAAATTTCAATAAAGTAAAAAGTACCGATAAAAAAATGTTTAAAGTCAATTTTCTCCATACAATGATTTTGTTACATGACACCTTTATCCACTTGTGTCTGCAATTTATTTTGAAATCTCACTACAATTGAAGCCAGGAAAAAATTAAAACGATTTTGGGAAAATTTGGTTTTTTCGTACTTTGAATTTCGAAACTTTATAAGCAGTATTTTTTTGATTACATAAATATGTAACTTTCCTTCCATTCAAGCGACTTCGGATCTCTTACAGTTTCCGAGATACCAATGATAAGGGTCGAATTTACTAAAAATTTACTAAACTTATTTACCCTCCAAATATTTATTAGGTACAGCAGGCAGTGAATTCAGGCTATCGTTGAGCCCATTGAATAGCCATCGTTCCATGGATCTGGATCCCAAAGAAAAAGATGAAATTATCAAGAATTGGTTGAGGAAAAAGGATGAGGAGAAGAAAAGGAAAGAAAGTGAGCAAGCTAAAATTAGAGCAAAAAAGGTAACAAAACACACCTATATTTTTCGGTCATGGTAGGCCGCCCTCATACGAAACAGCTTGATGGGTATATAAGGATACTTTCATCGGCCTTCCCTACCCGAAGTGTGAGACTCACGGCATATTTACTAGAACCTCTCGGCTATGGCAGTGCGCGATACATTTCGTCGTGATGGGTGCCATTATATTGCAGTTTTGTCATTATCATCTTGATAGAGAATCTTAACAACATTAACTGACCAAATTTTTGTGCTTCAGAAAAACGTTTAAATCAAAGGGAGCGCAGAAAACATATTTTCCAAATACCATGCATTTTATAATATCGACTTGATACTGGCTTAAGGCAAAGGCGGAACTTAAGACGCTTTTGTTTTTAAAAAGACGAAAATATCTTTGTCGAAGATCATCTACAGTTTCCCCTGGCGTATTATAAACGCGTCGTTTTAAATCACCCCAGAAAATTCTATCCTTCCGGTTTATCATCCGCGCTTAAACCATGTACTTTTTGGAGGTGCGATGGAAGGAGCAGTTGCTCTTGAAAAATTGTGTTTACTGTACATTTGGAAACTTGAAATTCTCGAGCTACATTCCTAACCCCAACTGTAGGATTTTCAAAGACAGCATCTAAAACATTTTCTTCAACTTCAGCTGTACGTACAGTTCTGGGAGCTCCACTATGTCGGCCCATATTTTGAGCAAAACTACCTAAAATCCAAATGGTTTTTACTACTCAAAATGAGGCTATAATGACTTCTTACCAGTTTATTGTTGTGGAAATTCGAGAAAATAAGATTTTTCAGTCAGTTGTTGTATACAGGGTAGGACAAAAAGCTATGATAAGTTATTTACAGAAATTGTGCTGTAAGTGGCACCCTCTAGAAGTTTGGCCATAAAAAATAACGTTTTCTTGTTTCTCATACTACAAAACCTCCATAAACCGAGTTTTTGACACCCTGTATCTCGCCAACTATCAACTTTTGGACTGAGGTATGTTTTTAGGTCAATTCACATATTTTGGTCTGTAGTATCTCCAGTTTCGAGATTTCCCAATCTTTCGCAGAAACATTTGACATTTAATGTTTTTTGTCTATTTTTGTATAAAATAATCATCAGGGCGGCTGCTTTCAGGAGAAACAAAAGCAAGCACAAATGGAAAAAGAGAAAGAAAATTTCAGGAAATGGTTAGAAAACAAGAAGTCGCAGGAAGAGACGGCTAGAAAAGAAACAGAAAGAAAGGAAAAGGAAAAACAAAGGAAGGAGGAAGAGAAATTAAGGAAGCAGAAGGAGGGTGAAGCTTCATTCAATTCTTGGTTGAAGAAGAAAAAACGACACGAGTTAGGTACTAAATCTTTGTCGCTTCTCCGAAAAACATATGATTCGCCATGATAATTTCGGCACCTAACTCTAACTGATTTCTATATCGAAATGGGAATGTCGTAATTTATCATCATAACAGAGGATGGAATAATGCATATAGCGTCAGGTCGACATCACAATTAAATCAAGCGCTGAAATTCAATTAGAATCAGTGCCCTGCTTGTATATTTCTCATGTTATACCATTTCTTAACGTATTCTACCTGACGATAGCAACCTAAGACGCTTGTCCAAAAAATTTGTCGTGGCGAAATATGTTACCGTAGCGTCATCTATGAGAATTTGCCACAGCTATGTTTTACCTCCCCGCAATAGTTAGAAATCTCCTTTGAAAGGGTTAGAGTCTCATAGATGGCGCTACAATCTAACTAAATATGAGCATACCATAATATGGCAAATTCTCATAGATGACACTACGAAGATATCTCACAACAAAAAAACTATTCACAAACGAGGAAACTTGAGTCGTTGGGGGTAATATATATTTCATATATCATATATTTTTGAGCAATAATTCATCAATGATGTTATATTTTCAGAGAGGAAAATCAAAGAAAAGTTGACCATGTTGCATCTGTATGAAGAAAGAGAACGACGTATAGAAGAAAATGAGAAAGCATTCAATGATTGGCTGAAAAATTCAAAAAATAAACCAAAACCTTTACCTCTAAACCAAGGATTAGACAGTAAGTAGTGTAATCTATGTGAAAAGATGGAAAGCTACGGCGAAATATTTGCCAAATACTTGACAAAACACAAAGTGACTTGTTTTTGGGCTTTGAGTTTTGAGCATCAATAAATATTATTTTTGTTTTCCAAATGTGATCAATTTTGCCTGTAGTGGTATAAATTGAATTTCTTGATATATTAAGCTGCGTAATAAGATCTTAGAGCTGAATACATGTATGCAATTGTTCAGTGAGGCTTCCTCATTGTAAAAATGCCTTATTCCGCCCCATTCGGCCAAAAAATACACGTTCGGTCATACATACAGTCTCCTACAAAAGAAGACCGAACATCTTACGGGGGTCTTCGAAAAATCTGTACTCACAACAGTTTTGCAGAAACAACGTGTACTTTCTGTGAGAGTGGAAATGCACATAATCATAGTCAGCGACTTTGGTAACAATGACAACGATGTTTAATTTTGATCTCGCTAGCCGGCACTTGTATGGACTTGAAACTGTCAAAAGAAGATGAGAAAAAGGCAGAATTAATATGAAAATGACCTATTTTACAGGTTTTGACATATATTGACTTAAACATCTAATCAGCAATTGACATCTTTCATTATATCCCTAGACATGCACCTAACTAGCGCCATCTACTTCTAGCTTTCTAGATTAGCCCCATTGAAACTTATTTCAAAATAACCCCTAAAATGTTTTTTGATATTGTAAATGGATGTTTAAAGAATATTTAAGAAGTTTGAAAACATACGGATTAAGTGGTAGAATAGCTTATGCTAAATTTCGACCAATAAAGACGTTTTATTATTATTATACAGGTATACTATTGATGACTACTACTGCACTTGCTCTTTCTATTCGCTACAACACATACATGAAATATTGGCAAAGACAACAGATATTAATATCAAGCAAGGTTCGCCGAAAAGACTGACAAAATATTTCGATCATTACCCCTGAAAATATTTTTTTGACTTCTAACGCTAACATGACTGTTCACTAAGCATAAATAAAACGGAGAAAGTATCAAACTTGAATGGTACCAAAATGGAAATTACGCAAATTACGGACGTAAAATCTTACTGTGAACAAATTGAAGAGAATAGAGCCCTAATATTAGAAATAACAACTACTATAATTAGAGTAAATTATCGAAGAGAAGAATAGATTTATTGAAGAAATATTAGAAGATAAAAAAATACAAATTTATTGCCAACTAATCTTAAAGAGCATAGAAGAAGAAGACACAATTATCACAACTCTGGAAAAGATAAGTGAAAGAATACAAAATATACAGAACCAGTTTATTCAAATCCAACATGAAACAAAGACAGAAATAGCCCAAATTAAACGATAGAATATGAATACATAAGAAAATACATTATTAAAAACAATAATAATTAAACCAAGTTGAAAATTATTAAGAACACAATAAAATATATCAGCAACGGAAAATTTCTGATAAAAACAAACAAAAATAATTCTAAATTGAAACATAAGGTTACAGAAACAATAAACAAAAAAGCGAAATAATTGAGGAAGTGAAGTGCCCACGTTAAAAATTACCGTATATACCACTAACAAAATGCAAGTGAAGAAGAGATAAAACATAATTTAATGAACCAAACCAACTTCATCAAAGAAGACCTACATTAATTATATGCGAATATTTAAGGGTGTGAATCTATATGAAAAGTTAATGTTAGTTTGCTTTATAAATTATGGTCCAAAAATGTTTCCTAACAAAAACTCGGGATGTTGAACTTTTTGGAAAAAAATGGAAATTAATTAATATTTTCTGAAACGCATCAAATATTTCACTGATATTTAGTACGTAGTGAAAGTTAATAAAGTTGCATATTTTTTAATGCAAACATAATGTTTAGCTTTAACAGTGGCGTGCGTACGGGTCAATACCCGTTCGATATTTTTCAAGAAAAAAAAGGTACGCCAATGGTTTTTTGTCAAATAATATTTTTGAGTTCACCGTTCAATTTAAAACCAATGATCTCTCTTAAATTGTTTTCTTTCGATGCGCCATTTTTGAGTAAAAAAATAAAAACCGTTCTATTGTCTAACTTGCAAATTTATTATTAATTTAATTGGAAAAAATAAACACATTAGGGGTAATGAACAACAACTGAAAAAATGAACATATCATTAAAACCAGCAAAATGATTACAAATATTGTTGAAAATGGCCTCCTTCACTGAGTATGTATGCTTCCGCCCTCCTCATGGAATTGCGCACTCGTTGAAATATCCCTGGAGTGTTTTTTATTCTATCACAAGCTGCAACTATTCTTTCTCTTAATTCCTCTACAGTGTTAATGGGACTTGTGTACACTAGTGTCTTAAGATAGCCCCACAAAAAGAAATCTAAACTGTTGAGGTCTGGGTACCTTGGTGGCCATTCTTGGGGCCCACCGCGGCCAATCCAACGATTTGGATAAACAGTTTGTAAATAATTACGAACCGCTACACTGAAATGCGCTGGTGCACCATCATGCAGGCACTACATATTATTTCTTATTACTAACGGAACATCATCAAGCAGCAAAGGCAACTGTTGTTGAAGAAAATTGAGGTAAGTCTGTCCGTCAAGTCGTCCCGGCAAGAAGAATGGGCCAATAAAGTGGTTGCCAATAATTCCTGCCCATACGTTAACCGAAAATTGGTGTTCGAAATGGGTTTCGGTTACGGTATAGGGATTTGCTTCTGCTCACAAATGATTATTGTGGAAATTCTGAATGGTATTTCGAGAAAAATTAGCTTCGTCCGTGAACAGAATCGTTGATTCAAATTGCGAATCTTGTGTAATTTTTTGAAGATACCACTGACAAAAGGTCACACGCCTTGGAAAATCAATGGGAAGTAATGCCTGTACTCTTAAAATATGGTAAGGGTATAACAAAAAATCCACTAAAATTCTCCAAACAATTTGATGGCAAATATTTAAGTGTCTAGCGATCTTCCTCGTACTCGTCTCAGGATGTTCTTCGACTTCGTGCAGCACTGCTTCCTCGATATCTGGTGTTCTCACACTTAGAGGTCTACCTTCAGATGTTCCTGTTCGGACAGAACCAGTTTCAACAAGACGACGATGAATATTAGAAAAAGTTCGACTATCTGGCAAAGCACGGTCGGGATATCTCTGGTGATAAATCCGTCTGGCTTGCTCACCATAACCGTCGGCAAAGCCATATACGCAATGCATTTCCGTCATTTCTGCATTTGAATAATTCACCATTATTAGCAAGATTGTAAAAAATAAATAATGAAAAAGATGTCACAGCGAACTGATTTGAATAACAGACTTGTCAGATGTCAAATGGCGCAGCGAAGGAAAACAATTCAAGAGAAATTTATTTGTTTTAAATTGAACGAGGAATTCAATAATAATTTTTTTTTTGGCAAAAAACCACTGGCGTACCATTTTTTTCTTGAAAAATATCGAAGTCAATACCCATACGCACGCCACTATTAAAGCTAAAAATTATTTTTGCATTGAAAAATATGCAACTTTATTTATTAACTTTCACTACGTACTAAATGTCAGTGAAATATCTGAAGCGGTTTTGAAAATATTCATTAATTTCCATTTTTTTCCTAAAACTCCAACGCCCCGAGTTTTTGTAAGGAAACATTTTTGGACCATAGTTTATGAAGCAAAACTAACATTAATTTTTCATGTAGAATCACACCCTTAAATATTCGCATATAACACCCTGTATAAGCTATATTTATGAATGGAAATAGAATCAGAAATACCTACACAATTTACGGTGATGTAACTGTACCATTTTAACGCTGATTTAACTGGTCCAGTGAAAATGGCACATTTTGCACTTAATATTAATTCGCTTATATTCCGAAAACTACCAGTTTAAGAGAAAAGCTCATAAGAACATTTTTTTAAGAATGATCTAAAAGACCTTAAAAAACTGCCCGCAGCAAAAAAAAAGAATGTATGGGTTGTCACATGGGAAAGACGCCATTTCAATGAGGATATCTCAAGTTGTATTCAGCCTTGAAAAATAATCATGACTACTGGTTTTACAAAATTCCGACAATACTTTCAGGTATGTGTAGCTCGACATCAGTGACATATATCAACCCAGTTCCTTGGACACCCAATGTAGAAGATGTTAAAGCTAAGTAGGAATACAAATTATCGACTATGGTTATTACTGAGCAACATCTGAAGTATTACTCAACAAATGTATACATATATTTTTTAAACAACCCATACAATAAATGTCTATAATATGCAATACGTATACAAAAGCAATGTGTAAGTTTTTCAATGGCAAATGTCAATCGTTATGTATATTGAACAAAAATAAAATAATAACTGTTTAAAATTATATGGTATTCTGCAGATCTAAGATGGTGTACCCCACAAAACGCGCACGCGACTCACGTGCGTCGGGCCCCGAAATCATCAATGTTTAGACATCTATAAACATCGCCCTCGTATACATCGATCGTATCAAAACATAGATTGCTTTATTTCAACTTGTGTTTCCAATAATTCAGCGATGAATTCATCGATTGCAATCATTTCCAGCGGATTCGTTCTTTTATCCGATGGTGGAATTCCCTCACCGCTTTTTTCGTCGATTTTAAAATCTATAGAAATAAAATAACACTTCTTTTTATTTTATACATACATGATTTACCTGCCATAGTCAAAAAATGCAAAATTCAGATTTTCGCCGATGACACTATGATTTATATATACTAAGTGACATATAAATCCGAACACCCAGTTTAAATGGTTTTATTTTAATAAAAGTTGGTGAATGTATTTATCTTACTGTAAATAACAAGTGAAAAAATGTTCAGCCTTATCAGTTGGACATTCCGGTTTTTATACTGCTTTTTTTTTAATTCACTAACGCTCTAAAAATGAATATTTCAGCCGCAGTAAAGAATCAACGTTGGCGGATTTTGGTTCTTGACATCCTTCACGATCGGTTACGATGCCTAGAGTACGGAGACCTGTACGATTTCGTCAACTTAGTGAGTTTGATAGGGGCCGTATAGTGGGACTTCGGGAAGCTGGACTTTCTTTTCGGGCAATGGCAGTTAGAGTGCAAAGAAGTGTAGACACTGTGGTTAGCAAGGGGCACTGGACGCCGCCGTAGAACAACAGACCGTGAAGATCGCCGCCTAAGATAATTGGCCTTAAGGGACCGTTTCTCCACTACCAGGTCCATTGCAAATGAATGGTTTGCAGAACACGGAAGACCTATTGGCATGCGAAGTGTTTACCGACGAATGAGAAGTTTTGGCTTGTTTTCATACCGGCCACACTGGGTCCTCCCTTTAACTCGAGAACACCGACGTAATCGCCTTGAGTGGTAGGCACTCTGGGATCAGGAATGGAACAGTATTGTCTTTAGTGACGAGTCTCGATTTTGTTTAGGCATGCACGATGGTCGTGCCAGGGTTAGAAGGCGACGTGGTGAAAGGAGGAATCCACAGTTTTTTGTTGAAAGACATGTTCATCACACTGTTGGAGTTATGGTTTGGGGTGCTACAGCTTATGGTTCCAGGTCACCTTTAATCTTCATCAGAGGTAACATGAACGTGCAGCGTTATATCCACGAAGTTCTAGAACCCCATCTTTTACCCTATCTTGACACCCTGGCAGATCCAACTTTCCAACAAGATAATGCCCGACCACATGTTGCAAGAGTCACAATAGACTTCTTTCAACATAATGATGTCACATTGTTACCATGGCCACCATGATCTCCCGACTTATCCCCAATTGAGCACGTGTGGGATATGATGGGTAGGAGATTGCTCAATTTGCAACGTTCTCCTCAGACTCTAGAAGCACTTCGAGATTAGTTGGTGGTTGCCTGGAATGAGATACCACAGGAGGACATTGACCACCTGATCAAAAGCATGCCTAGGCGCGTTGGAGAATTCGTAGCACATCAGGGTGCATCCACACATTATTAAAGGTCAAAGGGCTTTAAAGCAGTGCAATCATTTTGAAATTTTTATCATTTACTTATTATGCTTCATTAAGTACTTATACAAAATTTTATCAAAATAAAACCATTTAAACTGGGTGTTCGGATTTATATGTCACTTAGTATAAGTACTAAAAATATTCAGTCTGGTATCTCTTATATAAATGAAGACTTGCAGCTTGTCTCAAAATGGTTAGCATCTAACAGACTAAAATTAAATGCAAGTAAAACGAAAGCCTTGTTAATCGGAAAAAAACAATGTACAAATGTTCAACTGAATATTGATGGTGAAGATATTGAATTCGTAGAAAATTTTAAATACCTGGGGGTTTTTGTTGACTCTCGATTAATTTTTGATATTCATTATGAAAAAGTTATAAATAAGATTAGTAGTAAAGTGGGATATTTACCGAGAGTTTCTGGATGTCTGAGTTCATATAGCAGAAAAATTATCTATAATACCATCATTCTTCCAAATTTCTTGTACTGTTCGACTATTCTATATTTAGCAAATATTTCCATTTTTGAAAGACTGCAAATTTTACAAAATAAGAGCATGAGAATAATACTAAATAAAGATAAATATACTCCAATTAGGCAAATGCTTAGCAAATTAAAATGCCTCAATGTAAAAAATTTTATCAAATATCTTGTAATGATATTCATTTATAAAGTAAAAAATATATTTCCATCAAGTCTAACTAGTTTAACATCATCAAATGTCGACCATCATTTACATAATACCAGAACTAAAGATGACTTCCATTTAATGACCAAAAAGTATAACATAAGCACAAATCTGTATTCCATCAAAGTTTGATTGAATATAATAAATTATACTCGGAGATAAAAGACCAGAAAACTTTGACAAAATTTAAAGTAAAATTGAGAAATCACTTGTTAAATCTACAGTTATAGGTTGCCCAGCATTTACATCATACACCATATAGTTCTAAGTTGTTTACAATTATTCTGTTTATGTAGCCAAATGTGCTAAATAAATCTTTCTACTACTACTACATAGGAACTTGATTAGTATAAAAGAATGATGGCTCTGTAACCGATTGCAGAATTATCTGGTATATAACCATAACAAAGAGAAATAGGATGTATATTAAAATATTCAGAGTAATTCAACCCTTGAGTACGGGACATTCGTAAAATTTACCATCGACAATATTCATCGTGATATTCCGTTCATTTTCGAATAGCGTATCAGGATGGGACTCTTGGTACCTTTCTATTTAGTTCTCATCTAGACTCCAGTTTACGCAACATGTATTTGTCAAGCGCAACGGAGATCTTGCACTTTCATCGTAAATTTTACGATAGTCCCGTGTTACTGTTTGTAGGTTTTCGCGCAAGCTGATTTTTATTCCATTCTGTCAAAAGCGGTTTTGCTGACATTTACTTCTGAGGTAAGGTGTATTCAATTTTTTTTTCTTATGGCGTTCTGAGGACATGTCTTTCCAGCGAAATGACTTCAAACCGGTCCGTATCTCACGCAGAATTGAGAAAAGAAGTGAGAAAAATTATGGAGGGAGAAGACGGTCATCCAGACCCATTTGAGGATAGTGGCGATTGGGAACAAGATAATCTTGAAGTAGAATCGATGAAGGGATCAGATGATTCAAATGATGAATTATATTTGGATGAGAATTTGCCTATAAATGAACAAGAAATGACTACTTTGGAAAAGAGAAAAGAATGATGTCGGCCATGTGAACTCCGACGATAGCATACATCAGCCTCAAGTTGAACCTTGTACGAGTATAACAAATCACTTTCTAGTTAAACCCATTATTTTGAGTTTGAAATGAAAGAATGGTCAGAAATGGACATCAGCGCACCCCAGTAGAACTACTTCAAGAAATCTCATCCATTTTGTGTAGGGCCCGAAGGGTGGAAATATATGCAAGGAATGTAGTGTCAAATAATATATATTTAAACTTTTATTGATATTTTTGCATTTTATTGTTTAGCTCTTTAAATTTTACGATAGTCCCGTAATCTATGGTTAAATATAGAACTTTTCACCGTTTTTGGCGGTTACGTCACAACGCCATATGAAATAAGTAAACAGATTGGTTAATGATATTATGTGCAAAGTTGAAATTTCCTAAGGTAAATTTCACACTGCGCAAGCTGATCCGTAACGTAACTGCTTCTCGCTTTTGCACAGACATACACACCCGCACACGCATGAATTGGGTGGTAGAGGTCAGTTGTTTTCTCTAACATTCTGGAAATGCTTCTTTTGTAAGCTGTTTATATTGTACTTGTATCTTCAGTCACTATTATGTTTCATATCGAGGATCAAGCAAGGGAAAACAAATCACATATCCATAAGAAAGTTGTCATACTGACAGGGACAAGCATGAATCTGCAACTTATACGTTGACAAGAAATTTTTCAAAGCGGTAAAACAACTAAAGAACGTATGGCTTTGAGCGAACACCAATGGCCGCATATTCAGGCGGATTATACACATATGTGTGAGAGAGATGCATGCTTAAAAGTAGCTACTGTAGTTCTACTGTGACCTGCCAAAAACCGTGTAAAGATCTATAGATGAGAGACTACAGTCTACTATTGTTAATATTGAGGTCACTGAGCTACTACTAAACAGATTTTTGTCAAGTAGGGAATGTGAAGATTCTGCATATTTTGGAGATACCATTCCTCATCTAGAAATAGCACAATAGCAGTACACTTAAGATACTATGTTTTTGATCACTTCGATTTTGATGCATCGAAATATGGTCATACACCGACGGTGCCCAAGCGTCGATGATTTCGATACAATGTGTATCGTTGCCGTCCCAAGTCGGCAGGGTTATTACGTAAAAAACATATACAATGTCAAAAAAAACGATAACATTCAACTTGTTGACTCGGTAGCTGCTATTTTTTTTAATACGTCCAATACTTTCGTGAGGTTGTGATATTATATGATATATACTAAGTGACATATAAATCCGAACACCCAGTTTAAATGGTTTTTTTTAATAAAAGTTGGTGAATGTATTTATCTTACTGTAAATAACAAGTGAAACAATTTTCAGCCTTATCAGTTGGACATTCCGGTTTGTATACTGCTTTTTTTTGATTCACTAACGCTCTAAAAATGAATATTTCAGCCGCAGTAAAGAATCAACGTTGGCGGATTTTGGTTCTTGACATCCTTTACGATCGGTTACGATGCCTAGAGTACGGAGACCTGTACGATTTCGTCAACTTAGTGAGTTTGATAGGGGCCGTATAGTGGGACTTCGGGAAGCTGGACTTTCTTTTCGGGCAATTGCAGTTAGAGTGCAAAGAAGTGTAGACACTGTGGTTAGGTGTTGTCAGGCATGGCTTCGAGAA